GTCTGTGACCAACTGCTGCGCCTCGCCTTCAGCCCGGCGTGTCGTTAATGGTGATGTTCCGTGGGCATCTGCCTCCGACTGTTTCCGCCGTCACAACCGTGACCGTCACCGCCTGCGACGTAACCCGTCCGTCGCTGGGCAGGGCGCCTCGGACGCCAAGCAGTCGAGCAGATCGGCCTCGCCCAACCACGTGACGCCGGGCTCGTCGGGCGGCTCGAGCCCGGCGCTGCGCTGAGGACGGCACGCCGGCCGGCCAAGCCGCGCGCCGCCGCCGCCCAGCGCGCCGCCTGGGACCGGCTCGAGACGGGCCTGGACGGCGGCGCTAGCGCGCGGCCGGCCATCCAGCCGCGCGCCGGCGCCCCGGCCGCTGCAGGTGAGGCGGGGCTGGTGAGCAGGCCCTGTCCTGCGGGGCCCGAAGCGCAGTTCGGGCGAGCCGGTGGGGCCGGTCACGGGAGGAGAGGAATCATCGTAACGGCACGCGCTGGCACAACTGCTGGAACGGCTAGAGGTCTTGACGTGGGCCAGGCTGCGTTCATGCTTGGTATCGGGGTGTTGTCGCCTGAGAGGCGGGTCCCTTCAGATATCAGTGCAGTCATGCATGCCACCATGCGCCGACCGTCGGGAGTGACGTTGTCGACGCCTCGTCCTCGTCCGCCATCTGCCGTGACGTATATCTGCTCTCGCCAGTCCGCTTTGGCAGTGTTCTGACGTGATGGGTCCGTGCCAAGTGTCCGCGTCCGCCCACAACCTTTCCGCTCGCCCCGTGCGTCACTCCCGAGCCTGCTGCCTCAGGAGGGCCTGAAGGCAGATTGGGCATAGCGGCCGACGGAGGGCAAGGCCTGGCGCAGCCTGGACCTGGAGTCGCAGCAGCTGTGCCAGCCGACACCGGCCCCGTCTTCAAGACGCAGCGCTCCTCGTCCGTGCCCACGCCATATGTCAAGAAGGAGGTGCAACTGCAGGCAGCTCTGCACAAGGTGCGTCCGCCCCGGCGACAGCTGCGCTGTGTCCAGCTGTCGCCCGTCGCTGGCGTAGACTACTGTTTTGCAGATGGAATGGTGCAGATCAGGGTCCGGTTCTGGGGTTGGAGCTGAGCGCGGTGGTGAGTGGTAGGAAACAGCTGCAGTACAGCGGCCGTGGGAGGAAAGTCGTGCGGCGATTGTACTCGCGTCCCGCTCACCCCCTCGCTGTCGCTGCGGGGCCGCCGGTATGCGGATGGTCACTGACCTGCCGTTGCCGCCGTGTGTGTTGTGTGTAGTGTCTCCGCCCCGCCGACAGCGTCCGCCGTTCCGGCTGGAGCCGGCGCGTGACGTCACTCCCGACCCTTGACGTCACCCCCGCCCTTCGTGTCACCCCCGCCGGCTTTGACGTCACTTCCGCCCCTGACGTCACTGTCGTGCGGGCAGCTGGAGACGGCCGTCCATGCCGAGTAAGGAGCGATCGGCGCGCGTCTCGGTCAGCAACGAGAACAACCTGCTGCTGGAGCCGGAGGTGCTGACCGACCCGCAGATCCAGGTGGCTGGCGCTGACCGTGCTGGCCACGCTGGTGAAGCACTCGACGGACGGCGCCGAGACGCGCGTGCTCTACGAGTACCTGGGCGGAGGCGTCCGTCGTCTTCCCCAAGGTGTTCCCCGTCATGTGAGTTGAGCGGCGGTAGGGGCGCCGAGCGGGGTGGCCGGTAGACGGGGCTCGTGCTCGAGGGGACTCGCTGTGGGAGCAGTTTCCGCCGTCTTTGCAAGTGATTATAACATGCTGCACCCAAGATGGCTTGGGGAAAGGTCCGGCAGCCTGAATAATACAGCGAGCGTGTTCCCGGGTCAAAGTCATAAATGCCGTCGAGATAGCCGGCAGTTTAGACTGTCTGTCGTCGTGTATCACGACTATGCCCCTGGCATGGTGGTTAGCGGACCGTTGGCCGTTGTCGGTCACCACCATTGCTACCATGGTCACCTTCGATAAGGAGCGATCAGCAGCCGCCATGAGGCTCCTCCCGCCCGGACGCCGTGAGGCAGAATGCTCCTGGACTGTTCCGGTGGAGGTTCGGAGCATCCCTGCCTGACTAGACCGGCACCGTCCGCAGCCACTGTCTGCTGGACGCCAAGATCAACCAGGTGCTGTCCAACTGCTACGACAAGGTGATCCTGACCTGCGTGCAGTGCTCATCCAGAACATGATCGCCACCGAGCACGAGACGGTTGTCACAGCAGCTGCACTCGATCCAGGCGTACGGCTTCGGCGGTCCTTTGGCGCTTCGCCGGCCCCTTCACCAAGGTGAGCGGCCAGCCGCCGGGGCCGGGGCGGAGCGGCCTCCGGTGGACGCCGCGGCCGCGCGGCTCTGAAGACCGACGACGCGGGGGGGAGGGGGGGCAGCAGTGTGCAGTGGCGCACTCTGCGCTGGCCGCACGCGCCACGGAGTGATGGATGCGAGCAAGAGCTCACCGCGCTACCGGCCTCAGTCGGGCGGGCCGATCTCGCTCGCGCGGGATGTGTGGTGTCGTCGCTGAGCGTGTCGTGATCACGAGCGGCGTGCGTGACGGTGTGACGGCGCGGTGGCCGTCAGGAAGTGCGCCACACCCGCCGCCTCTCAGCACGTGACAGCGTGCCGGCTCCTGACGCGGCGCGCTTCCCCGCCGGCAGTCGACAGCACGGCGTGAACGCCGAGCTGTTCCGCAACTGTCTGGAGGCGATGGTGGAGACGTGCTGGTCGGCTGGCGACACGAGCCGGACCAGCTGCCCGCCTGTCCGTCGCTGCTGTCCGTGTCGTCCACGGTCAACGCGTCCAGCTCGCTCTCCAGCCCCACCGTCGGCTCGCCCACGAGAGAAAGGTGGGGGTACCGCGCTCGGTGCTAGGAAAGAGGTGCTGGGCTTGGTGCTGGGAAAGAGGTACCGCGGCTCGGTGGCTGGTAAAGAGAGTGCTGGCTTGGTGCTGGGAAGGAGGTACCGGGCTTGGTGCTGGGAAGGGGATACCGTGCTTGGCCTGGAAAGGGGTACCATGTTCGGTGCTAGGAATGTGTCCCCAGTATCTGCGCGTGATACTAGGAGGGGGGGGGGTGGGGGGGGGGGGGGGGGGGGGGGGGTTCACGTGCTCGGTGCTGGGAAGGTGGGTACCTCACTCGGTCTGGGAAGAGGGTACCAGGGCTCGATACTGATGCTGGGAACGGGAGGGGGTGCCGCACTCGGTGCTGGGAGGGGACGCCACGCACCCACACCGCGCCCTTGTCCGGGGAAGCGGGGGCGCTGGTCGCTGCACTGGGAGAGACTGGCGCTGCACCGTCACAGAACAAACTGGTTAGTGGGTGTTGGTGGGGAAGGGCCATGCTGGTGTGTAACTTTGAGTCCAAGCGGGAACAAGTGACGCAGTGGCACCCACATCTTGGCTGCAAGTATAACAGTGACAGTTTGTCTGTGTGTTGGTGCTGATCCGACGAGGCCCTGCACGGTGGGTTTAATGTTTGATTGCGATTAACATTGAATGGAGCGGTTGGCGCATTGCCTCCTCTAACACGACTTCTCTTATTTCAGTTGTCTTCAGAACCCGTTCTAAATGTGGAGCAATTGTATTTGGTGCTTCGATGTGTCTACGGATCTCTTGTGGGTAGCGGTCGACCCGCCCCATTTTGCCGGTACCTGACCTGTCTCGGGCTGCCATCTCCTGGCCACCAGATAAGTTACAACTGCGGTGTTTTCCCGTGGCGCGGCGCCACCGGCCGCGCCACAGCTGCTCTGCCGTCAGTGTTCTCGTTGCGCGCGTGCCCGTGGCCCACCGCGATGCTGCTACCGCGACACGTGCGGCCGGCCGGCGCGCGCTGGCCGCCGCTGCTCCGCCCACCCCACCCACCTATAGATGTATAATGTATATACAGCACACTGTAGATCGTACACGCGCCGCGCCCGGCGCCTCGCACCATGTCCAGTCATCGCGTTTCTGTAGGCTATGTTGTGTAGTCGGATGTGTCTCTGGCGCCGCCCGCGTTAGCCGGCAGGCTCCGGGAGGCGCGTGCGGTCGTGGCCCGCGGCGTGGTTTTAGCCGCGCGGCCGCCGGCGGACGGGACGGACGTCCACCTCCTGTGATGGGGCTCGTGTCGGTGGGCGGAGGGTGAGGCGCCGGTCTGCACCCTAGTCAGGTCTAGCCGCTGGCCACGCCATCACAAACTGCCACCGTAGGCATCTATTTTCAATTGTTAACTCACTCTCCGGTCCCACGTCGGCCCGTAGCAGAAATCTCCGTATTTTGATGTCATTTAGCTGTTTCTGCACATTAATGTACTATTTATTTTGCCAAATACAGGTGAAAAATGTGTGTGCTGTTTTGGTACAGTGAGCGGTTCTGGTCTCTGGCCGTCTCACCGACGCGGAGAGTCGCCAGGCAGGACGCAAGTGCTGGAGGAGGTGGGCGACAGCCTCGACATCGCGCGGTCCGTTGACGGACTGCGCGATGTCATGTCGTCGCCTGATGGCTGGGAGCGCGGCCTAGGCCTTCCGCTACGGTCCGGTTACTGCTACGCTATGGGAGTGAAGTGCTGCCGGCCGTTTCGGCCCGTTCAGCCCCGGACAAGCCGGCGCAGCGTCGGCGCCACCCCGGCGGGTCGCTCCGCCGGCAGCCGCCCTCCAGGGGCGGCGTGCCGTGCTGGGAACGCCGCGCCTCCCGCTGCGCTGCGGCGGCGCCCCTGTGCGATAGTCGACGCGACTTCGGAGGGAGCCCGGGTGCGGCATACCCTCCCGACTTCTACAGCGCGGTGGAAGCGTCAGACTTAGACAGCTTCGCCCCTTCCCCCTCCCTTTACCATGCGACAGGGCCGTGCTCCGCACACGCAATTTATACGGATGAAGGTTGATATGGGTAGCAGTAGGCACACGCCACGTTCTGCTTCATCATAAATCGGCCCATGAATGACGATGACATCCCTGTCAGTCGACGCGCACACCGACTGACGACAGTCTATCATTAGCTCGCCAGAAAATGGCCGCGGTCTCCAGCTTCAGTCCGACGAAAGCCTCAACAGAAACTCGTATGTGTGTATTTCGGTCTGGTCAGCGCACAGAGGCAAGGGAAGGCACACAGCCCGTGTGGAGCAAGCAAGCTCACCATAATGCCACCATTGAACACAGCTGAACAGAACAGGAAGCGGGAAGCGGGCGGGACAGAAAGACAGAAGGGCAAGAGGTGGCAGGCGAAGGCGGATAAACTCAGCGGTCCGCCATCACAACCGGAAGCGGTCCTCACTGCGGCGTCGCACTCGGCCCAGGTCAGCGACACATTCACGGGGCCTGTATTCCCTGGTCCACTTCACAACTAACCACACGACTATTTAAGTACACGGCCGAGGCGCCATTAAACTACCCGACGTCCTCGACTTGCCATGCACGGCGCGTTACTCCACGCGCGCTGGATTAATATCTTGCCGGTCGGAGCGCGTCTGTTTAGCGTTTGCGCCGCTTGGCGTCGCTAGTGGGCGCCTCAGCGGGCCGGTTGTGCTGGCGAACCCGCACGGTCTCATTGAAGCGCACCTGCCGGGCGGAAGGAAGCAGCAGGTCAGCAGCGCTCTCTGACCCCAATCGTCGGCATGTCGGCTTCAAACGAATCACCATCCGACAGTTCACGGGCGGGTGGCGTGATGTAACAGAGCCAACCCGCAGTGATCGAGTCAGTGTCGTTCAGGCCAGCTCGCTTGTAGTGCAGGGGACCCTGCCAGATTTCACAAGTCTGAGAGGCTCATATGCAGCATGATACTTCGTGCTCAAAAACGCTCTGAACCCCCCGCCCTGACGACAGATCTCCCACGCAGGTCGATGAACTACTGAAGAAACGCTACAGTACCCATGACGGATACCACCGATCACATCACTGATGGTAATGACGTGCCGGGACGGCGCAGTACCACTGACACCACTGCACGCCACCACTGACGCGACTGCCGGCGTTACTGACGTGTCGGACAGTGCACTACCGCCACACCGACGCCCCCGGAGCCGGTAATTCCTGACATGTGACAGTGCACTACTGCCGTACTGACGCCGCGGAGCCGGTCACTACTGACGTGTCGGACAGTGCACTCCCACCGCACCGACGCCCCGGAGTCGGTCCCCACTGACGTGTCGCGACGGCTGGCTGCCAGATGACATGCTACTGAGGTCGGAGCCGATGGAGAGCGTGTCGCCGCTGGCCTCCTCCAGCGACTCCATCACCGACGGCGTGAAGCTGAACTCCAGCGAGCCGGCGTCCGGCTCGGCCGTCTGCTCCGTAGCCGTCGCGCTGTCGGCCGCGCGTCACGCCACGTCACGCGCAGAAGAGGTCCGCCGGGTGTTACGAGCGTCACGCGGGACCGCAGTCCGTCAAGGGCGGGGCCAGGTGCGCCACAGAGCGACACGGCGCCCAGGGGCGTGTTCAAGCACTCCGCACCTGCCAGCGAAGGCCAACAATACACATCCCTCAGCAGGACCGCCAGCCAGAAGCGACTCATCCCAAGCACATCCCACCCCGCGGTGCCGCCGTCCAGACCTCACACCGCCGCTACTGCCGCCGCCGCCCGGCCGGCACGCCCACCTGTCCGTGTCGGCCCAGCTGCTGACGCTGGCGGCGTCCTCCACGGCCTCGCTGAGCACGGCCAGCCGGTGCAGCTCGGTCCGCGCCGGCAGGGAGGTGGCCAGGTACACGCCGCCGGCGGCGCCGGCCGGCGCCAGGAAGCGCGCGCCGGCCAGCTCCAGCTGGCTGACGGCCGGCGGCACCGCGTCCGCGTCACGGAACGAGCCGCGCGCCACCTCCACCACCTCCACCGCGTGGAAGTGGAAGATGAAGAGGAACGGCGCCTGGTACGCTGCGGTGAGGGCGAGAGATGAGCGTGAAGCGAGGGCACAACATGCCACACATTTTCGGCGTTGCTCTGAACGTACCCGCGGTTTAACCTCCTTTGACTGCTCGTTACACCGATTCAGAATGTTCCACACACCACGAACACTACAGATCGTGATAAGGGCTTGATGTGTCAATACATCTGGGTCAAAAAGTACACACCCACTCGCACAAACCTTAGTATCTTCTTTATAATTTCCCTGTCTATACCACTGGGTTCCAAAGGGACTCTCAGCTGTCTGCTCCAGCGGAGCCACCGCCCGTGAGCTCACCGAAGGCCAACGGCAGGCGGGTCCACTTGATGTCCTGCTTGCGTGAGCGCGAGCCGAACTGGTCGACGAACACGCCCAGCTCGTGGTAGCAGAGCAGGTACTCCTTCTCGGAGACGGCCAGGATCGCCACCGGGAACGAGCGCATCTGGCTGGTGCCGTACACGATGTACGCCAGGCTGGCGTCCGACGAGTCCAGGAACTCTGCCCAACGCGCGGTCAGACCCGCGGCGTTAAACACAGCAGACAGCGGCGGGGCTCGACGGCGACGCCCGCGTCACCGCCGTCTCCCGTCCTCGCGGGGTGTGCACACGCCTCAGCAGACCGTGCCGCGGATCCAGCACACCAGACCAAGCCATCGCGCCATCCGGATCTGGACATCTGGACATTTACAGACTGACCAGCGTGCATCGCCGCCTGCTGCTTGCCCCCCGGGGCCACTGCGAACCAATGATGTCACGGGCTGGGTACCAGTGTGTCCGAGCATCTCCCCGGCCTCCGGAGCGAACCAAATGCTGTCACCGGTCGAGTACCAGTGTGTCCGAACATCGCTCCAAGTGCTCAGCACTGGCGCTGACGTGCGATCCACACTTGACTCCGCCAGAACGCTGGAGGCAACCACTGCCTTGACCGACCTTCAATGGCAAAGTTGCAGAGGTCGACCTCAAAGAAGCGGTCGGTGCCGATGATGATGGAGCTGGAGGTGAAGTGCAGGCAGGTGGCTGGTTCCTGCGTGCTGAACTGCTTCACCAGCTGGTAGGTGGTCAGGTCGTAACTCCAGCGGAATAGGCTAAAGAACGGCGGACCAAAGCTCGGTCAACGGTCACCACCACCCCGGCAACAGGCACTGGAAGGCAGCCCACCGCGCCAGGCGACCCTGGTGAATACGGATCGCCAGTGAGGCGACGGGCGGCCCGCGTAGCCTATCAGGTATACAGCTGGAAATACAAATGACGCTTATTTTGGTACTCATGTAACGTGTTTGAGGCGAGGTCTGCCTCACCAGGCCCGCTTAGACAGGACAGTGGCCTAGTGCGTTCGGTTTGAGGCGTCGTCAGCGGCTCACCAGACGCGGTTGGAGGAGGCGGCGCACACGAACGCCTGCTTGTCGCCGGTGGCGCCGGCGGCCAGTAGGTGGCAGCTCTGCAGGCCCTCCAGTCGCCAGGCGTCCAGTCGGGCGGCCGACACCGAGGCCGCTTCGGCGCAGGCGCGCACCGCGTTCAGCGGCGCCACACGCAGCTCGTGCTCCTTGCCTGTCGGCGGCCGCGGTCGACTGTGAGCGCGCCCGGAGCCCCCCCCCCCCCCTCCCCCCCCCCACCACCCGCAGCACGGCGCGATGCTGCAGACTAAAGAGGCTGACAGATATGTTGGCGTCTAGACTGGAGCGCTTCAGTCGAAACCTTAAGACAATGAGCACGCACTGCTAGCCTTTAAAGGGACGGGAAAGCTGGCTGTGAGGGTACGTGCGACATGCTCACGAAGACACCGAGTTACCATGGAAGAAACCGTGACGCATGCCTCACTCCAAATCTCTTTGCTATAGTCCCAAGCAGAGGACGCTTTCGAATTCAGCAAAACTTTGCACGGCACGTATGCGTCACAAAAGCGGAATCCCACGTTGCCTTGCAATGTAGAAGCGTGCACTAGATAAGCCAACAGTCACGTGACTGTGTGTATATACATATATATATATATATATATATATATATATATATATATATATATATATATATATATATATGATGTATGTATGTATATCTAATACCACTAAACCGAGAACGGCTAGATGGCTATATGACCAGAGTGTGCGGTCGGCAAAGAGGGGCTAGCGCATCGCATTAAACCAAACCCACGTGTGTGAACGGGTGGGGTATGCCTTAGCTATAACACATACGACACAAGCAAATGCAGCGTTGATTTCGGCTGGCCAACGCGTACATTTCACAAAAGAAAGCCAGCGGGTCGAGTTGCCCATAACTCGCCTGGTATATCTTAGTTGACCAGTGTACCTGCGAGTCTATGCCATGTTACAGCTGATACCCCTCTTTCTATTTGGACACGTATGCTAGCCAGCTAAGACAGGTGTTGCCGATGTGGTGGTATGTATATCGGTTTGTGGCTGCACCAGCGCGGCACCTTGGTCCGGGCAGGCCAGCCTGGCCAGCAGCAGAGGCCCACCTGCGATGAAGACCAGCTGGTCAACCTCGGGCACGGCCCTCATCATGAGCACAGGCGGGAAGCCGTCCACCTTGATGCGTCGCTCCGTGCGGCCGTCGGTGAGCGACAGCGAGTACAGGCCGTCCTCCGTGCCGAGTAGCATCAGCTGGCGGCCGGAGGCGGTCACGGGGTCAGCACAGGTCACGGGTGTTAGCACAGGTCACGGGTGTCAACACAGGTCACGGTGTCAGCACAAGTCACGGATGTCAACACAGGTCACGGTGTCAGCACAGGTCACGAGTGTTAGCACAGGTCACGGTGTCAGCACAAGTCACGTGTGTCAGCACAGGTCACGAGTGTCAGCACAGGTCACGGGTGTCAGAACAGGCCACGGGTGTCAGAACAGGCCACGGCAGCGTCGGGTTGCATGTCGCTCCACATTGCACTGCAGCTCAGCTTGCGGTTACGTCACATGCAATGAGTCACGACACAGATTCGCGGGTGTCATCTGCGCATCACACCTGCACAAACGCCTCAGTAAAAAACATAATATATCAGTCACAATGCCGTCGCACTGGTGATCACGCCGGCCACGCTGGACGCGGCAAACCCGGAGCGCCGACGCCCGGCGCGGCCGGCCGTCCGCCGTCCCACCTGGTCGGTGACGAGGTGCGCGCAGTTGATGTCGATGCAGTCGGCGCCGTCGGCGGCGTACACGAGGCTGGCGCGGGCTGAGCCGCGGCCGTCGGCCGGCCCGGCGGCGGCCGGCGGCGGCACCAGCGACTCCAGCAGGCCCACCCACTGCTGCTTCTCCGGCAGGCTGCTGCACAGGAACTGGTACGACTTGGCCGGCCAGCAGGTCGTCTCCTGCACGATGCCCACCTGTGTGTGGGGCGGCGGCGCGCGGCGTTACGAGGGACACGACAGCGGGGCATCCCTCAACATCCCCCTCCGCCACGTCAACAGAGGCCCCAAGGGCTAACGGTCGTCTGGGCCCGGCGCACAGCTGTAACACGGAGCGGCCGTATTCAGCTGCTGCATTCGGGCGTCGTATACGGTATTTCTCTGGTTACATTTACACTTTACGCAAACACTCCCAGGACAAGTGGGGCCAAACCTAGAATGCGCTCAGCATTTCGACGACTTAGACCAAGCGATGACTCACTACCGATGGCCAGCCCCTCGATCCCTTCGTCGGATGACACATCCACCACAGCTGCCACAGAACGCACCGCGGTAACTGACAACCTACCGCTGCCCGCTGCGTACTCCGCCATCCCGCCTCGATCGCCACCAGGAGACGGGCCGGCCTGCCCCGACCGGCCCGCCACCCGCGCCACACGCCGATACCGGAGGCCGTACCTTGAACACGTAAGGCAAGTCGCGGCGGGCCAGCTGCGGCACCTCGGAGTACGCCACGTCGGCGTCCACGTGCACGTGGCCCGAGCGGAGGTCGATGGTCTGCAGCGGCGCCGGCGCCAGCCCGCCCGGCGACGGCTCCTCGGCGTACAGCGTCAGCTGGCCCTCCTCCACGCGCAGGAAGCGACGCTCCCAGCCGGCCTTTCCGGGCCTGCCGGACGCGGGGCGCACGGGCCGGTCACCGTCCGCCGCTGGGTCATCATATCCGTCACGGACTGGTCACTGCCCGCCGTTGGGTCATCATGTCCGTCACGGGCCGGTCACCGCCCGCCGCTGGGTCATGTCCGTCACGGGCCGGTCACCGCCCGCCGCTGGGTCATCATGTCCGTCACGGGCCGGTCACCGCCCGCCGCTGGGTCATCATGTCCGTCACGGGCCGGTCACCGCCCGCCGCTGGGTCATCATGTCCGTCACGGACTGGTCACCGCCCGCCGCTGTAATGATGGCCCCGCTGGGCCATCATTGGGGTCTGAATCCTGGGACTTCCTGTTCGCATGTCGCCCATTGCCTTTGTTGGTATTGGTATTGGTGGCACGGGAATGAATAGTGAACCATACAAACGCCCAATTTATCCCTCTTCGGAGCACCTATGAGCCCTAATTCAGCTGTCGTACCGTAACAAGCACAGCGATCCACATGCCCATCTGGGTACAACGACCCAGCCCTGCACCTGCACACACTGATCCCACTACGAACCCGGTGCCCCTGACCCCGCCACGCACCTGGCGCCCCTGACCCCGCCACGCACCTGGCGCCTCGGACCCCACCACGCACCTGGCGCCCCTGACCCCGCCACGCACCTGGCGCCTCGGACCCCACCACGCACCTGGCGCCCCTGACCCCACCACGCACCTGGCGCCCCGGACCCCGTCACACACCTGGGCACCCGGATCCAGCCGCGGCCGGCGGTGGGCGTGTCCTCGGAGGGCTGTCGGGGCGGCTTGGGCGGCCCGGCGACACGGCGCACGGCCGGCGAGGCGTCCGACTGCTGCCACGAGTCGGAGAAGTGCCGCGCCAGCGCCGCCGGCAGGCCGCAGGTGCGCGGCAGCTCGCCGGCGCACTGCAGCGGGAGGCGGCGTCAGCGGCACCCGGCGCACGGCGGAGGAGACGCACGCGCACCCGGCCGGGGCACCGACGGCCATACTGATGAGGGAGTCTTAAGAGCTTCAGCTTTCAAAACTGCCGACTTGGAGGTCCACCGACACACCGAGAACAGTCGGCAATGCTGTGCGATTTCCAGCTTGACTGCAGAGCTCATGGAGACACATCAAGCTGATGCATCACGACAACCAAACTGAGATCCTCTCCATCCGATCAAGGACGCCAGCCCCGCTGCTGATCGCCGGCCGCAGGCCTATCACCCGACTGCACCGGGGGGAGAGCGGTGGCCACGTGCCACCCGCCACAGTGCCCATACCTTGGGGTGCGGTGATGTGGCACTCGGCACAGCGCCCGTACCTTGGGGTGGGCAGTGATGTGACACTCGGCACAGCAGCCGTACCTTGGGGTGCGGTGATGTGACACTCGGCACAGCGCCCGTACCTTGGGGTGGGCAGTGATGTGACACTCGGCGCAGCGGGCGGCCGTGCGTCCGAAGCGCACCGGGCCCAGGCAGGCGGCGCACTTAGCGGCCCGCGTCATCAGGCCCGTGTCGAACCGGTGCGGGATGTTATGGTGCATGCGCTGCGGCGTGGGCGTGGGCGTGGCTGGCGGCGGCGGCGCGCCGGCGCGGGCGCCGCGCGCCGCCGGCGTGCTCTGCACCCCCGGCGACTGCGCCAGCAGACGAAGCGCCTGGCGCGACTGCGGCGTGCCGCCCAGGCACGGCGTGTCCGGACAGGTGGGCACTGCCGGCGCACGGGCGGGGCGCCAGGTCACGTGCCGGTCTCACGCCACGGCCGAGTTCACGATGGCGGTCGTGTGCGGTTCGTGTGCGACTTGTGAAGATACCTTGCGTCGCTGACTAGCCGGAGCATTTTACCGAACGGTCATTGTTGAGATGAACAACGTATGTCCTGTTGCCATCTCCGCACGGTTATTCCCGTACAAAAAGCAAGACACCAAACGTGTGTGACGGCGACCATCTATCACCTTGCAGCCATTAAAATATAAATTAATTGTTTGATGTTCCCGATGTTCCCCTGTGACTGCAGCTGGAGGCAAGACACCTGGCTTCAAACCCAGACCGATTACGACATTTAAACATCTACACATTGCTCCTTATGGTGTTGCTTTTTTCATCGGCACTGCGACTGAGCCAATGAGCATACTCCGCCCACACTCATTCTCTTTACATGACCAAATTCATGCAAGAAAAATAAAGAACACACCAAGCAACCATGACACCAGTCAAGACACTCCAAACATACAACACAAGTCGCAGCCCCACAAACCCCCTGCCAGCGGCCTGTCGTCTTCTCAAGTTACTGTCCGGGCCCTCCAGCGCTCCGTGCCCCGCACCATTCCTCAGCCGCCGCCGGCTCACCTTTGTTGGTAAGGGACACGATCTCGGCCCTGGCCCGGTTCAGCTGGTCGTTGGCCTGTTTGGTGCGCATGCGCTCTCGCTCCAACAGCCGCTCCAGGTCACGGTATTTCAGCGGCACGGGCGTGCAGTTCTCCTTCTGTTTCTCACCGAACAGCCGGTCGGCCAGCGTCTGCGGACGGGCCGGGCGGCGTCAGGGACTGTGGCTGAGAGGCAGGCCGGGCAGCGGCCGTGGCGTGGTGATGGACGGGCCGGGCGGCGTCGGGGACTGCTGCTGACAGGCAGGCCGGGCAGCGGCCGTGGCGCGGTGATGGACGGGCCGGGCGGCGTCAGGGACTGCTGCTGACAGGCAGGCCGGGCAGCGGCCGTGGCGCGGTGATGGACGGGCCGGGCGGCGTCAGGGACTGCGGCTGACAGGCAGACCGGGCAGCGGCCGTGGTGCGCTGATGGACGGGCCGGGCGGCGTCAGGGACTGTGGCTGAGAGGCAGGCCGGGCAGCGGCCGTGGCGTGGTGATGGACGGGCCGGGCGGCGCCAGAGACTGTGGCTGAGAGGCAGGCCGGGCAGCGGCCGTGGCGTGTTGATGGACGGCCGCTGCTCCGACGCCGCGGCGACAGCGGGACAAGAGCGCCCTCCGGCTTGTCCGGGCCTCGAGAGAGCCCGGGCAAGGAAATGAGTTGACTGGGGATAGAGAGCATCGTTCCGTATTACGTTGTGAATGATGCAAAGCACTACCAAAATAAATGCAATTGCAATGGCTTATGATATATGGCAATATATATCATATATTGTCACGTATCATATACATATGGATATAGCGTTCTTGCCGTTTCTGGGCCATTCAAAACCCACAAGACATCCTTCCAAATTCCACACTCAAGATCCAGGACCAAAGCTCAACCTAAATCCCACCCTGGGGCCGTCCGGCGGCCTACCAACACCACCCGCCACCGGTACCAGAGCCGAGCCCGGCTGCGGTGGCCCACACCGCCAGCCGCGGCCCCCGGCCCGCCCCGGAGTCCAGCCGCGGCTGCCGGGCCCGTCCCTGCGTCCAGTCGCGGCTACCCGGCCCGCCCCAGAGCCCAGCCAGGGCTCCCGGGCCGCCCCAGAGTCCAGCCGCGGCTCCCGGCCCGCCCCGGAGTCCAGCCGCGGCTCCCGGGCCCGTCCCAGCACCGACGACAGACCCACCTTCTTGCGCGGCGGCGCCTCCGACTTGGCCTGCAGGAAGTCGATCAGCTTGGTCTGCTGACCGAGCGTGCCCTCCAGCCGCTGCTCCTTCTCGTCGTAGCTCAGCTGCATCTCCGAGATGACGCCCTCCAGCTCGGCGATCCTGCCCGGCCACGGCAGGTCAACGCCAACGGTCAGCATTGGCTTACGGCGGCGCGGGCTAAGGCTGGCCGGGCCGGGCAATGGTCAGCACAGGGCAGGCCCCGGCACCCTAGGTTACGATGTTTCGAGCCAGGCTAGATCGGGCATGAGCTTGCTGATGCTGATGGTTGCCAGTTGGTAGCAGTCAGCACGCATAAGAAGCAGCAGGTGAGGACCATGCGGTCCGAGAATTCACCGCCAAAACCAATGGCGCTTCCTGCTACCAACCGCCCGGCCCAGTCGGCGGACGCAGCGCGCGGCGACCCCGGCTGACCTCTCCTTGAAGGCCTCGGCGCGGTCGACGGCCTTCTCGAGCGCCTCGGTCAGCTGGAAGTTGGAGTCCTTGAGCGAGTGGATCTGCGTGAGCAGGCCGGACGTCTCCTCCTTGAGCCGGGCCATCTCGCGCAGCGTCTGCTCCTCGCGCCGCTCCAGCTGGCGCAGCTGCGTCTGCGCCTCCGACAGCTGCTGGTCGTGCTGCGACAGCTGCGCCGACACCCAGCCGTCAGACCAGCGGAGCGCGGCGCCGCCGTCACGTGCGCACAAGATGTCGCCGACATGGGCGTGGAAAAGGGCACAGAACGGAACCGCAGCGCAGCGACAAAGAAAATCTGGGAACGCGCACAGACTGACGGGCATGGACGTTTTTCTCCCGCGCTCCCCAAACACTGGTAATTACTGGGATATCCAACACTCATCAGCATTCTTGCCGCTTGTTAGCGTGCTTGGCGAACCACCAAACGTTTCAGCGTCCCACGAGTGCAGCCCTCGGCTCACCTGGTTGGTGAGACCGTGTGACAGCTCGCGGTACTCGTCCAGGTCCTTCTTCAGGATGTCACGCTCGGTCTCGACGTCGGCCTCCTGCTCCTGCAGGCGGCGCTCCAGGTCCTGGACGCGCCGCTCCTGGAACAGCTTCAGCGACTTCTCCTCGTTGGCGCCCGCCTTGGCGGAGCGAAGCTCGGTCTGCAGGCGCGCGATCTCGTCCGACAGGGCCGACCTGGCGGGGAGGGGCACACAACGGGCCGTGAAAGACCTGGCGGGGAGGGGTACACAAGACCATGAGAGACCTGGCGGGGAGGGGCACACATCGGGCCGTGAGAGACCTGGCGGGGAGGAGTACACAAAGGGGCCGTTAGAGACCTGACGGGAAGGGGCACACAACGGGCCGTGAGAGACCTGGCGAGGAGGGGTACACAAGACCATGAGACCTGGCGGGGAGGGGCACACAACGGGCCGTGAGAGACCTGGCGAGGAGGGGTACACAAGACCATGAGAGACCTGGCGGGGAGGGGCACACAACGGGCCGTGAGAGACCTGGCGGGGAGAGGTACACAAGACCATGAGAGACCTGGCGGGGAGGGGCACAAAAAGGGGCCGTTAGAGACCTGACGGGAAGGGGCACACAACGGGCTGTTAGGGACCTGGAGGGCGGGGGCAAACAACAGGCCGTGAGACCTGGCGGGAGGGACACACAACGGACCATTAGGCTCGAGTCACAAGAACAGGGCGAGACAAAAGGCAGACCTCGGCAGACAGGGCTAACTTGATCCGGAGGGGTGCACACGCAGGGTGTCGTCAGAGATGAGGCCAGAGTCAGTGCGGTCAAAACAAGAACGTTCTAAGCTACCAGCTGGCTCCGTGGTCGCGGTCCTTGGCCAGCTAAGTGGTCCGAGTGGTGCGTGCGAACAATGTTTGAACTGAAGTCTGGCGAAGAGGAACTTTAAGGGATTTAGGGTCTGAAACAGCAGCTTAACACAAGGGATCTTTTGTGCCCGCTCGACGATACGTTGTTCTCGTTCGCCTAATCGTGTTATGTGACACCATAAGCATCGGCTACACCCCGGCAGGCTGTGGCCAAGTCCGCAGCCGGTGGGTTGCGCTACACACTGACTTGTTCTGCTCCTGCTTATCTGTGTCGGCCTCCTGCTTCTTCAGCAGCTGCTCCATGTCGGTCAGCTGCGTGTCCAGCGTGGAGCAGAGGTCCTTCAGGGACGAGATCGTCTATGGTCGGCAGCGACGCGTCAGCTCAGATGCGAGGTAAACCACGGCTCCATAAACAACAGCGGTCAGGCTCTAGTAACAGCCGAAGAGTAGTGAGAGCTCCGTTGCATTGGGGACGTGCTCAACACCCGACATTCAAGAGCTTTTCTGGCGTTACATCAACTTATTTGGGTTATACGGCGTACTTTAAGTGACATCGCTGAACTTCGCTCACGTGCTAAACATTGGTAATAAGTCAGGGTAGTATGCTGTACCAGGGCCGCAAAAAGGGAAATAAACACATTTGAAGCGAAGCTGGCATCCCAGTCTCAAAACTCGCGTACCACTCGCCCAGCCCGCCACCCAGCGGCGCCGCCCGGTCCTCACCGCCTCCTGCTGGTCGGCCTTCTTCTGAGCGTCGGCCAGCTCGCGGCGCAGCGCCTCCTCCGTCTCCTGGAGGCGGTGCGTGCGCTCGGTCTGCTGCTGGGCGGCCGCCTGCTGGTCGTCAAGCCGCTCCTGCAGGCGCTGGGCGGCACGCTCGGCCTGCTCGCGCTGGCCGGCGGCCGCCGCGCCCTCGGCCAGCTCCCGCTCCAGCGCGCGCACCTGTTCCACCCAGCGGCCCACCTCCGTCTGTGTGCGGACGGGCACGTGGCTGGTCAGAAGGGCCCGGCTCGGACGCGGCAAGGGAAGGCCGTCGGGCCCACCGATGCGAGCGGTCGGTACTTCATTCCGGCTGAGAACGGCTTCATTCAACATTCCGGCTGAGAACGGCTCTCTTCGCTGGGGACGACTGACTTCCAAATCAGCACACAGACAGAACGATGGGACGGTCCGAATCGCTCGGCACATGGTCCGAATCTTAAGCGTCAAGTCCACTTTAACAAACATCTTCAAAAGTCCAGGATTTATGAGGACGATCATCGTGACAACGATCTTTCAAAGCCTATCTTAGAAACAATACTTGTAAACGTAGAGTAGCGCATGAACGTGAGTGGATTCTGTGCATTTGCATATGCATTTACACACACACCTGGATTTGTTGCTTTTTTACAAGTTCCTTTGGTCTACAAATGAAACACCGTACTTGCTGGTGCACAAACTTGTATCCTGTCTTATCTACGAGTACCCCATTCCGTCTTGCTTGAGCAACAACCTAAGTCCAGTTCCGTTTACGCGACCGCTTCCAATTTTCTCCCTGTGCTTCGCCTTCCCCGTCATTGATGCGCGCACTTCTCCTGTTTCCAGACGCCCCCGGCGCGCCTCGCCGACCGATTGACTCACCTCGTGCGCCTCCTTCAGCTCGTGCGCCTCGCGACCGTGCCGCTCGACGTCGCGTTCGGCGCGCTCGAGGCCGGCCTGCCGCTCGGCCAGCTGCTGCTCGAGCCGGCCGGCGCGCTGCGTCAGCTCGGTCCGCTCCGCCACCCAGCCGGCCTCGGCCTGGCGCAGCTCGGCCAGCGCCGCCTCGGCCGCTCGCGCCTCCCGGTTGGCGATGCGCACGTCGATCTTCCAGTCGGCGACCTGCTTGTCCTTCTGCGGCGCGGGCGGCGGAACGGCTCACAGAGACGGGCTTACGTATTACGCTGGCGTTTGGTGAGTGAGTGGACAAGAAATCTTCTTCGCGGTACAAAGTTAAGGTTGGTTTACAGACAGCTACGTCAGATTCGAGCTGGACATGACTACGACAGGATGCGTACTGGACCATTACAAGTCATCATATCACATTTGATGTGACGTGCCCGACAGCGAGATGAAAGGTCGGCGAACGCGGCCGGCCGGGCGACGACACGTACCAGTCTGATCTGGTCCTGCAGCTCGGCCACCTTGTGCCGGTCCACGGCGCCGCGCTCCCGCGCCGACTCCAGCTGCTTCTCGGTCCGCTCCAGCTGCGTCTCCAGCACCAGCTGCGACTGCTTCAGCTTGGCCAGCTCCTCACTGCCGGCAGACGGGCGGTGTTTACCAGGCGCGACGGACACTGATTTGTCCAGCGGCGGTAGCCGGGAGAATACACAAACAGGACGGAAAGACAAATAATGAGCATGTCATTGCACGAAAAAAAGGGACAGAATGGCGGGAGACCAAAGAGAATAAGACACGCAGGAGCGTTGTTTCACAAAATGAGTTGGAGGTGGAGGGGTTGCTGAACAGTGAAAATGACCCAACCTACACCCAAAATATGCCAACAAACAGGCTTCTCCCAGGATTTTGCCCACTGTCCAAAGGTTGGGGGCATATCAGTGTCGCCCCCCCCCCCCAAATTGAAAGAAAACTACACTCCTGAAGACAACACAATAACATGACAACAGGAGGGCCAGATGGCAGCCAAAAACAAAGCATGAGAGTCAATAAGCCGGTATGCAAGCAAATCATAGAACAGCAGAGCAAGAAGGTAGGCAGATGTGGATTAAGCAACACGAGAGTAGGACAGAAACATGCTTGGTCAGCACTGTGAAAGAGGGACTCCGTGAAATGTGGGGGGGGGGGGGGGCGCCCGACGGGGTGTAGGCCCATCCACCTGTCGTGCGGCTCGGCGGCGCTGGCGTTGGCCAACTGGTGCTGCAGCGTCTCGTTGCAGTGCTCCAGCTTGTTGAGCGACTCCTCCAGGCCCAGGAGGGTGGTCTCCAGCTCACAGATGCGCTGCTGGTGATCCTCTGTAACCACGCCCGGGTCAGACGCCCCGCACGGCACCACCCCCAGACGTCCGCAGTACGGCAAATACGGGGCGTGCCCCGACCTCCCCGGGCGGTGGATGGACGGCCCCCGTAGCTGAACTGCCCTTTAAAATCCACCTCCCGAACTACAGCCGCAAGTCTCTAAACACGACCAGCGGCCCAGCCACTCAATACCGCAGGGTAGCCGGTCATCGCCAGCCTTCCGAACACAACCAGTGGCCCAGCTACCCGACGCCGCCATGTAACCGGCCATCGCCAGCCGTCCGGAGCGCACAAGCGGGGCCGCGAAGCGCCGCGCCGCGCGCGCGTGCGTGCGTGCCGTACCCTCCTTGTCCTGGGTGACGCGCAGGTCCTGCAGCATGGCGTCGCGCTCCTGGTGCGCCGCCTCCAGCTGGGCCCGCAGCTCGGCCGCCTCGGCCAGGTGCGCGTCCCGCAGACCGGCCAGCTCGGCCTCGCGCGCCGACAGCGCAGCAGCCGACTGCTCCCGGCGGGCGCGCGCCGACTGTCGGCAGAGCGGGGTGTCGGCGGCGGAGCGGAGTGTCGGCGGCGGCGGGTATGGCGCGACACGGTGGCGGAAGCACAGGCGGCGTGATACAAAGGGAGAGGCACAACATGAGACCTGAGAGAGGGACACGGCGGTGGGACTCAAGGCAGGCGACGGCGGATGATGACAGCAGTTCCTAAGTTGGCAACGTCAGCAGCAGAAACAGCCACAGACACCACGTCGCCGTGGCTGTCACACTGCTGCGGACGCGGCAGTACAGCTAGAGACACAAACAACTCTATCAACACCGCCCACCGATAAGGCTGAACGACGTCCTACGGCCATCGCGCAAGAGAACAAAACAGATTCAGTATCGAACAAACCCCAGAACACCGTGCACCCAGCGTTTAAACCCATCCCCAGTTCATGCTTGGCCACCGCTGGACAGTCCCGCACCCGGTGCCCGGTGCCGGCTGCCCACCTGCAGTTGCTCGGCGAGCTCGGCCGTCTGGCGGCGCTGCTCGGCCAGCTGGCGCTCCAGCTGGGCGGCGGCCGCCGAGCCGCCTTGCTGGCACCGATCGGCGCGCGCCTCGGCGTCGCCGCGCGCGCGCGCCAGCCGCTCGGCCTCGGCACGCAGCCGGTCCCGCTCGGCGCGCAGCTCTGCCAGCTGCGCCGCGTCGGCCGTCGTCTGTTCCAGCTGCCGCCGGTCAGGCGGCGTCACGACGGGCGGGGACACTCCAACACGGTCACGTGAGCGCGTTGGCGTACGGAAAACCTGAGCGTGCTGGACAGATACACAACCTTCGTAGACACGCCAGGAATGCGCTTGGCATGAATATGTCAAAGGTAAACACATGCCATTTCCCGGAAGATAGCGAAGCACCGTGTTAGCGCCAGGGAAAGACGGTCGGACAGCACGTAACGCATATGACGCCTTTAGACAACTTGGGCCCGAACGCCGCTAGAGCCAGACACCACGTGGAGCCGTGGGCAGCTCAGTCACGCCCCGGGGCGTCCGGACTGACCCCCTCCTCACCTGTCGCTCGAGCCGTCGCTGGTCGCGCGCCGCCTGCTGCAGCTGCGCCTGCAGCTGGTCGCGGTCGCGCTGGCCGGCGGCGAGCTGCTGCTGCAGCTGGAGCAGCTGCTGCTGCGAGGCGGCCGTCGTCTGCTCCAGCCGCTGCTGCAGTCCGGCCGAGTCCACTCGGCTGCTGTCCAGTACCTAGCGAACGGGCCCAGCCGGTCACCGAAACGGTCCACAACGGGAGCCCTTGCTCGCGCGTCTCGTGCCATTTACCCGGAGACACACCCATTATCCGAGGGGCATACACGCACGCCCAGCAATCCAGTCTCGTGCCATTTACCCGGGGACACACCCATTATCTGAGGGGCATACGCGCACGCCCAGCAGTCAAGTCTCGTGCCATTTACCCGGAGAAACACCCATTATCCGAGGGGCACACACGCACGCCCAGCAATCCAGTCTCGTGCCATTTGCCCGGAGACATACCCACTATCTGAGCGGCACACGCGCTCACCCAGCAGTCCAGAGTCGCTCACCAGCTCAGTCATTCAGTCAGACTTCTTCTTGGCTCGAAGTCTTGGCTGGTCTTTTGGTCTTAGTCACCATACAACCGTGTTGGGAAGGTCGCGCGGCGCGGTGTGACGCCTTCCAAACACTCAAAATACTGCAACTTCCGTGGAAGCAGCACTCACACTGGTCGCACTTCAGCAGAACCAGCACGCACAAAAAAATGCGGATTGACAGGCAAAATGGAGCGATCTAACTGGCATCCCAACACGTTGGCGCTTCAATTTTCATTTCGGCCGCCTATTATCCCAGTGACCTAGTCGTGCCCTCCGATCCGAACGAGGCGGCGCTCCGGTCGCCCACGACAAGACGTACCTCCTTGACCTTGTGCTGGTTCTGTTTGGCGGCCTCCTCGGCCGTCTTCCTGGCCTCCTCGGCGGCATTCAGCTGGCTCTGGCAGCGCTGCAGGTTCTCCAGCGAGAAGTGGTACTTCTCCTCCATCGACTTGCACTCGGCCTGGTACCGCTGCGGGCAGATGGCGGTTCAACGAACGCTCTCCCGTTCCACGACAGTCATAGTAAAGCTCGGGCCTCAGACAGCTTGGTGACGTCATTCATATTACTGCTAGGCACATGCAACGTCACATCCATGCAAGGATACCGATGGTGCAGTGGTTACGCAGCGCGTCTGGGAAACCAGAGGTGCGGCGTCCGATTCTCAGCGGTGCCCGCCCATACTGCCAGGGTGAGACATGCGACGCTATATCGCCACAGCACCTGGGTGCGTCGTGGAGCACCGACGCACGCACGCACACACGCGCGCACACACACACACACACACGCTGCCGCGCAGACAATGGCAAAACCCACGCTGCTCCACGAACTCCACATAACCCGTGTGGCGGCCGGCTGATCCCGTCAGCTCACCTTGACCTCGTCCTGGATGACCTTGAGCCGCTCCTCCTCGTCGCGCTTCCACTTGCGCTTGATGTCCTGCAGCAGCTCGAGCGCGCGCTTCTCGGTCGACATGCGGTCCTTCTTCTCTACCTCCAGCAGGCGGACGTAGCCCTAGCAGCGGGAGGGGAGTGAGGCGCGGCGGTGCAGCGGCGGCGGCGGCGGCGGCGCCACACGCAGGGGCTCAGGACCTGGGTCAGATCAGCGCGAGCGGGGAGGGTCCGGCCGCGGCCGACCGCTCCACCCGCACGCTCAGATTTGCGCAGTGTTTGTCATCATGTGCGAGGGGACGACCACCAGCTGAACACGAGTGCTGGGCTGACACTCGAGGCGCCGCGGATTCCGACACAGCCCGGTGCTGCACATGGGGGAGAATATGTAGACTCACAGCGGACTTGTCCTCGGCCCGGGCCAGAGCCGCCTCCAGCCGGTTCCGCTCCTCCTCAATCTTCTGTAGACGCTCGCTCTTCTCATCCACCTTCGCGCTCAGCTGGGGAGGAAGGAGAATAGCAGTGCACGCGCGGGTCGAGATAACATCCGATCCAAATACCCCGCTATATATATACGGCACTTTACATGACGCATTCCCTGTGCACAATGTCTTCACTAGCACATCCACCGGTCTCGCGGGACTGCAACATAAATCATAAAGCACAAGCACTCCTCCCCTTCTTCCAGCCGATTTATTCGGCGCTGCCAGCTCGCAAAGCGGTGCCGAGCACAACACCTCCCATCATCCCCCGGGGGTCGCACCCTCCAGCTGGCCGGGAACGAGCGTCAGTACCTGCTTGAGCTGGCTGCCGACCTCGCCGCGCTCGTACTCGTCCAGCCGCTCGCGCAGCGTGTGCAGCTGGCGTCGCTGGGCGCACACCTTCCGTTCCAGCTCGCTAGATGGCTCTGCGTCGGCCGCCGGCAGCAGCGAGCTGCTGCGCTGCCTGCGGACAGCGTCGGCCGCGGCTATCATATGGTGCCAGGCGGCAGCGAGCGACCCCGCCGCACGAGTGGAAACGTGCGGGGACGTGCGACAGGGCGACCCATCGACAATTGCGGTCGCCGTACATTTTTACGATAGGTCCGGCGGGAGCGAGCAAACCGGGGCCGCGGGTCCAACACTGTTGGTTGGTTTGCTGTCTGGATTAGAGCCCTTTCCGCCAGTCACGGCCATTTCAGGGCCATGGGATGAAGGAGAATGGATACGGCCCATCCACCGAGGTTTTGTCCCCACAGAGACCCCTTTGCGGGGTGTGTGCTCGACGCTCGGACGGGGAGCCGCCGGGTGACGCTTCGACTCACTCATGGCTGGCGCGTGCAGCCTGCCCCGGACAAGCGGGACGATCGCGAGGGATGCAGGATAAGAAGAGAGAGAACATAAAAGGACAGACTGCACTGAACGTGTCAAGTGAATGCACGCCAGTACTCGCCAACGGCTTTCGTCCGAATACCCGACTTTGCTACGAGTTCGTCCACCCAGCGGGCAACCCAACTACCAGCTGAGCAGCCCAGACCAGTCACCCTTGGCACCTCCGTAACCGGACCACCCCCTCGCCCCACCCCGCCGCACTCCCCAGCAGCGGGCCCGCATCACCACTGACCGGTCCTTGAGTGGACGCGTCTCGCCGAGCGGCTTGGTGAACGTGAAGGCCGATGAAGGGCAGCTCGCGGCCGGAGAAACTTCTGCTGCGAGAGCAGCGAGTCCAGGCTGGGCGACGGCGGGCTCGGGCGACACACCTCGTCGAAGTTGGACGTGTCGTCCACGCCGTTCACGGTCGGGATGAACGGCGGCACCGCTGCGGCGGGACGGGGGTCAGACTTAGCGTGACAGGTCAGCCACGAGTGACGACGAGACGGTCAGACGGCGGCCGCACTAGAGCTCCGCATGCGGCTATCAGCCCAAGTGCGCAGCTATTCGGAGAGCAATGCGTGCAACGCAATCACTGTCCCAACACCCAAACGGTTGATTCGAAGTCATGGCTCCACAGGGCCTCCTCACAAGTCCGCCGCACCCATCGCGTTGGAACAACAAGCACAGTAAACAGCACGGGCTGCCGCGTGGTGCCGCCGTTCGGCCACAGGGCCGTGGAACCAGCGGCCCACAGCTGTGCGGAAGCCGCGCGCGCTCCTCACTGTTGCGATGTTGTTCCAGTCGACGCTGGTGAAGAAGGCATGCTGCAGCACGTCGGCGTGCGCCAGGCGCCGGTTGTTGTCGGTTCAGCAGGGCCGGCGATCAGGCTCCAGGCGGCGTCGCTCAGCGCCGGCTCGCTGGGCCGCACCAGGTGCTTCTGTCGCCGGAGGGTGGCGGTGTGAGCGCCACGTCCGGCGCCGCCCCGACGGCAGGTACGGGGCACGATCGGCAGGGCTCGCGCGGCGCCGTCCGCTCATCACCCACCGGACGGCTCGCAGCATCGCTACTGAACACGAGTTCAGCGTCGGGCGTACCGTGCAAAATAACTCTACTTCACAACCTTATTGACGAACCTACTCAGGCTACTGAAAACGAGTCAGCGTCGGGCGGGCCGTGCGAAACAACCCTACTTCACAACCTTACTGACGAACCTACTCAGCTACTGAACACGAGTCAGCGTCGGGCGGGGCCGTGCGAAATAACCTTACTTCACAACCTTACTGACGAACCTACTCAGGCCACGAGAGGCATTGTGCGCACGGTCTCCTGGAGTCCATCAAGATGCAAGAACGCTTTCACCTACCTTGTGCTGCTGGATGTTGTTGTAGGTCGAGCCCAGCTTGTCATCACTGAACGGTGTTCTTCCAGTGAGCATCTCGAAGGCGACCACTCCGAGGGACCAGTAGTCGCAGTCCTTCTGCACGCGTAAAGGTTTCACGTCGATGAGGGTATGCCGGAGGGGGACACCCGCTGTCGTCAACGGAAGCAAATCTAAAGATGACATCGCTTGTTCTGTTACCGTCTAACACACGTCACTGTCACAGTCATAACTTGGCATCGCAGCCGAACGCATCGGTCAAAATTGAACAGTGGTTCAGCGTGCATGAAATAGAACGCAACAGATTCAGTCCTACAATGCAAACCTGGAGATACCGACAAAGCGCTCATAGTTAAGTGACTCACTACGCATATTGAAATTACTGAGGTCAGTGTCGTTGCCACGCCTTGACAGAAACAAGGCCAGCGAAAGTTTCCTGCGGCGGGGACCAAGCTCACGTCTCTCAACCTCAAGATCATCCTCATTCACCAGTCATCACATGACGGGGATCACCAAAGATCTTCTCCACTCGGCCACCACACCGCCCGGGAACAAACCGCACACCGCAGTGCGACACCAGCCCGCCCCCGTCCGCCAGCCCCTGCCCTGACTGACGCCGTAGGCTGGGCTGGCCGGCTGGCGCGCGCCGGCCGTGTTGACGGCGCGCAGCACCTCGGGCGCCAGGTAGTCGGGCGTGCCGACCGGCATGGCGGCCGACACCAGCCCGCGGCGCCGAGCCGCGCCGCCGAGCCGAAGTCGGCCAGCTTCACGTGGCCGCACCGGTCCAGCAGCACGTTCTCCGGCTTGACATCTCTGGGAGCGGGGCGGCGGCCGGCGGCGTCAGAGGGGCCGCGGCCGGCGGACCGCACCGACGGCGGGAGCCACGGCAGTCAACAACATAGCTACGCGGCGGCCAGAAGCAGGCAGAATTCACGTCCGTTCGCGTCCACACTTTAACATGAACTGGTTAATCTCAAAGCCAGTAAATTGCGAGCCGAGGAAAAAGAAGCACAGAAAACTTACATATGGTCGACAAATACACACATCATCACTATCACGCAATGATGCATCTTGTGGACCTCCTACACGTACGCATTCGACACAATGACTTGGCAACTGACTGGACCAAAATGGCCTCTGCATTGACCTGTCTGCGTAGCCCCCCTCCCCTTCCCGACTCCCGCACACGCGCCTAACCTGTGCACGTATCCCATGGCGTGCAGATCGTGCAGCGCCAGCGCAATCTCGGCCAGGTAGAAGCGCGCCGTCTCTTCCTCCAGCACGCCGTCAAAGCGGTCCAGCAGCGTCATCAGGTCGCCGCCCGGGTGGAAATCCATCACCAGGTACAGCAGCTGCGAGTCCTGAGCACGGACAGTGGGCAGGCGTGGTGGTGGTGCGTCGCCAGCCTCAGCCTCTGGACGCGGCACGGACAGCCAGACTTACCGAGTACGGGCTTTGATGGCGGCTGGTCATTGCTGGCGGTTCACACCCGAAGAGCTACATCAGACACGCGTCTTCTCTAGGTGGCACACATGCAACATATTGGTTAGCGAAATCAACACGCAACAAGCGCAGAAACGAATGAGGAAAGAGCATGGCTCAAACTACAACCTAATCAGTGTGCAAATAAATTAATATCGCGAGCATGTGAAAACAAACTTAACAGTGTGTACATGGTGCAGCAAGCGGGGCGCCTCAGGTAATATTTCTTACCTGGAATGCGTAGTGAAGAGCCGTGATCCACGGCGACACGGCCTCAGTCATGATATCCCGTTCCTCTTCATAAAACATCACCTGGAAACGGACTCAACCGGTCACCGAAAACTCACACCACAGGCACGACCGGAACAGCGCACACCACATACACTGACCTTAACAAACAAACATGGCTTGATTCCGCTCCAACACGCACCACGAACCTCGTATCATTCCGAACGCCCTCATCCAGCACGCCAGCACCTTCCCTCCTCCAGGACTCCACCCAGTCATCACCCCCCCATGCCACCACCAGCCAACGGCAGCGCGTGCCTCACCCCGGTCTGCGCCAGCGTGTCCTGCTTGCGTCCACCCAGCCGTA